CCCCCCCCCCCCCCCCAGCTCGTACTACGTGATTTTTCGGGCAAAATGTTAACTTATTCGGGCAACGACACTTGAGAGAAAACAAATTACAAAATAATGCTGTTGGCGTGATTTCCAAAACTCTTAAATAAAGTTTCTAATTAGTTACTTTAAATTTTTTTAGAACTTTTTCTTTTAATAAGTTTTGTATTTTACTCGGATTGAGACTGTTGATATATCGAGTATGCAAGCTTTCAATATAACTATATTTGGAATTGTAGCAGTTTCATTAGATTTGGGAATTGTGAACGATTTTGTTTTTCATGCAATTTGAGTTCGTTTGCATCCCGATTTCAACAATCACGCATTCGGGCATGGCGTAAATTTTTCGGGGCAAGAAGGTCACCGCCCCCTCAGCCCCCTCCACCCCCGCCAAGTCCGAAGGTGCCCGTACGCATATGTCTCGAGCATAAAGAAAATGAGCTTTGTAGAAAATGAGGGCCGAATAACTTTACAAGATTCGCTTTCGTTTGTCTCAACTTTCTTTTCCTTCCAGTTTTCATCCTTTTCCGAAGCGGCTTATGTCCCGACGTTTCTGAGGATTGAATAGCATGACAGAGTTGAGGGCGAAAATCAATACCAGATAATTTTTCACGGGTAGTCTGAGACATCGTTAATGATGTGCTTCTCAATTGTTATAGTTGCGGTTTTTGAAGATTCTAGCTACCTTTCAGTACAACAGACGTTCTTTTCGTTTTTCATGGCAGTCAAGAGAACTCTTGAAGACAATATGGAGCAGCCTGTCAGAATCTTTACCAAAACAAACACAAGCACTGCTTGCAGATAAACAGAACGAGTGCTGGTGGAATATGATTTCAGAAGACATATAAAGAAAGAAAATAACATATGGTGTAGTTTGTGATGGTCAGAAGTTTAACTGGATTATTCTGAAAAGTGATAGAATTTTAAAAATGTTTTTCAAGAGCATCTGAAATAAAAGAGCAAAAGTATAAAGAGTAACAAGAACAAAATTGAAAAAGAAAGAAAACAAAAACGAAAGAAACGATATGACTGCAAGTAAAGTTGGGTTGTACACTACAAAACAAAAGACAAAAGGAAGGCTAGCAGCCAAAGTATGAGGTGAAATAATTTGAAATGTTCATGGCCTTTAGAAGACTACCACCCATCGTAAAGCTCCGAAAGAAACGACTCTCTGATCTGATCTCGGGCTGATCCAGCTTTTTAATCTGTTTACATTTTTCTAATGAACCCCCGAAATTACGAGCGAGGTCCGGCGTTTCTTTCGGAAAGTCGTTTGTTTCCTACTAGTAAGAGTCGTTACTTTCGGGATTTGTTTCGGGAGATAGTTCTACTTGTCCAAATGTTGCCCATTAAAACATTTCAGTCTCAAGTGTAATTTCCATAGTGCTAGCCTTACAGTTTTCATTTTCCGCCCGTGTCTCTGGGGGATTAGGACGAGAAGTCGTCTGACTAGAGTTGCTGTATTGTGTTATAACATGTCTTGATTTGCATATATTGGGTTCATTCATCTATGCTGCCATGACCGGAAACAAAGTCGCTTTATGGTGCTGTTCCAAACAAACGTAATACTCTATTAAGAAAGATTAAACAAGATGAAGATGAAACATATGAAGGAATATGTTTGGTTTGCGAATATCCCGGCATGGACTTACAACTTCTATAATTGGGATAATGGTGTAAGTTGAATTTACCATGGTTGCATTAGTTTGTGAATAAAACCGGAAAGTGGAATGTAAATGAAAAAACCTCCATTCAGAGGGAATTGATTTGTAATTAAATGTTATTGTTTATGAGCAACTGACTGTTGTCGTGGAGAACAAAGGTTGCGGTTTTTTCCTGTTTTATTACAGCCACTTCACACAACATTTGTGCCCGACAGGTTACCTACTTTTCGACTATTCAATCTGTTCGTTTGATTTTGCCCCTCAAAATCCGCACATTTTCAATGCAATAATGCAAGCGATACATAAAGCACCAAAGACAGCGTTATTTGAAAGTAGGAAATGGCACAATTATCACTTTAATTAATGACACAGCACTTGAAACGTCGTAATCTAATATTCATAATGTGTCTTCACGTTGTCAGAGCGAAATAATTCAGTCATAAACTGCATTACTTTTTGGGCCATGAACTGCGATAACTGTTCTTCAAAGAAGAAATTGCTTATTAAACTGCAATCATATCCAGCTCTAAGGTAAAGGTTTTGGGAATGACATTGCTCCATGTAGCACTGATGTAATATTCATAGGAAGGGAGAGTCCCTTGCCCTGCCTCACTAAAACTTCCTGTCATACAATGACAGGCAAACCGCAGAGTCTGATTTTGAACCATGACTCATTCATCGAGTCTTAAATAGTTCGTTGTATGACAACAGCCGGGCAGGTGCACGCCGGAGTGTTCTCTCGCTGTGATAAACTCCAAGAGAAGGACATTACACTGATCTTTACAGCTCATTACTTTGGACGTCAGCCAGGTGAAAGATCTTTTCCGGACTCCTTCCTGAAATAGTTTGATTAGTTTGTTAGATTTGCTTTTTACAAAATTAACCACGCCAAACATCAAATGCGGTAATGTTATATTGCAAGCTTTTCTGTGAAATTACCATGGATCGCCTGAAGAATTTCACAGACAATCAACCCGTCATGCTTTACTTCTTTACTTTAAGTATTGCTCCGGAAATAATATGAAGTTTCTTGCTGAGCCAAGGTTGTTGAAACAAAGTATAGAAGTTAAACAAACTTCGTCCTTCGTCCTCTTTATCTACTTAGCGGTAGATTGCCGGCGGAAACCACAGTGTTGACAGAGATTTGACTCTGTTAATGAGCCTTGAGAGGATTACATCTAAGAAGATATCGACTGTGATAAAAATTCAGCAGAGAGAGAGTTAGTTTATCTTGCAGATTGCTGAAATACTGTTGGAGATTAGTCAAGTCACCATAAATTCAAGTTCCTTTATTTTTATCGAAAGGAATGCAAGCATAAGTTCATTTACATTTAATAGGGCCCAGGGCAGTTCTGAAGGTCACATGTCGATCTTACTGTTATTGTGAATATCTTGTTACTGTGGCAACTCGCAGCTTTTCGTTTCGAAAGTGCTGATAAGACATTTCCTCGCCCGGGCGATTTCTTTTTTAACTCTTGTTTTGACTTTCAGATTCATCTAGAATAAACTCGAGCTTGGCTAACCTCCCCTTCATGCCGATCGTCTGTAAACTCTTACTTTTAATAGAGTTGATCTAGCTTGGTTTGCCTGTTTTGCCTTCGATAGGAGCTGCCTGCAAGACCGTGTCATGGCGGGGCTGCCTAACAGACCTCCGTCAGTGTGTGTTTTGTCACCACAAGAACTATCTTACGCGAAAGTTGATTTTGGTAAAATTCACATCCCCGCTAATGCGCTGATTATTGCCGAACACGAGCAAATATTCCTAACAGTGGCGAGCATGTTAAAAGAGCTGAAAGCAGTACTCATTGGGGATGCTGGTTATGTTTACACTGGGAAAATAGGCTGCCGGCTTGTTTTCTTACTCAAATGTCGCGATCGTGGGCCAGGAGCAGTAATTCAGACCATAAAGACGCTAAAACCAAGGGCTGGCATCTTCCTTGGGTTTGGTAAATCTCTTGCGAGTAGGCCTTATGAAATCGGCGACGTGATTATCACAGATGCGGTTTTACGAAAAGATTGCCAACAAGGAAAACTTGAAAGTTACGCCTGCAGTGAATGCTTGGTCAATGTGTTTGAGAACGGCAAGTATGGCTGGGTCCTTCCAAAGTACCGCAAACAAGCTGTCCATGTTGGCAAAGTTCTTCAGATGGGAAATGTAACAAAAAATGAAAAAACCAAGGCAGTAGCTGTAAAAACTACCAGCTTGGGTAAGTTGAATCACAAGATCTGAATTTCTGATTACTGCCGTAATACAAGGGCAGTTTTTATCATCAGCACCCAACCACGGCTTAGGGCCTACACTGTCCTGTACTGAGTTATTTGCCTCATTGTCAAAAGTCGTGAAGGTAAGTGAATGTTATTAGTTAATCGTTATCAGTCAATATAACTTGCCCATGATCCTGGTAGAAAATGGTACAGACAAAGATTCTTTTGAAGTAACAAAAGCGATTTCACCATCCCTGAAGACCCTGAAGGAATCAGCGACTGTCAGTGGACCGCTGGAGAGTTTAAAGTAAACGTTTAACTGAAAATTCCTTTTCTAGACGTGCGACATTTGAATTTTTTTATGTCACAGTGAAAGATTCGTGTGAAACAAACTAAAAGAGAAACAGATCTGTGTAAAGAAATGTTCTTTGGCCTCGTCATTTTCCCCTTTAAATCCCAATTCAGCTAATCTGATTTATACCTTTATTTCGTTAAGATGTACCCGAATGCAGTAAAGACCTTGGCAGAAAATGGATTTCAATCGTAGGCGTCCTTGGTACCCCGCGTTACCATGGCGACTCTTCTTGGGAACCCTATGTAGCAGCAGTCCTGAGTTCACTCGTCAATCAAGTCCTGCAAGACGATCAAGTATTTGCTATCATGGGAGGAGAGGCTAGGGGACCCAGGCAACATAGTCCTGTCTTGAATAACCCAATGCAAGAGACAATGGATTGCTCAATGAAGATGGACGAATATAGTTCTCTATATGGTAGGATATTGACCCGTGGAATGCTTATTTACATGTTAATAGTTGGTTTTCACATGACGTCACTAAAATTCAAATTACAAAACTGTTGATCTTCCTGAGATTTTACTTTAATGATGTATAAGAGCAGCTGAAAACTAATTTTCATGCACATTTTCGCTCCGAATGGGTTCTTGGTTTTGTGATACACCACGCTTGAATTTCGAACCTTTTGCGTGACGCGGCATTTACATGACGGCGTCATGATGGTTAAAAAAGCGAGTTATTTCGGGGAATTTGGCTATCTGAACAGTTCATGTCTTAGAAAAAGTATTATTTTAATGTTTTAGAGTNTGCATAAGAATAATTTCTGTGACCAGACTCTTGGCGAGAGTCTTTGCATATTTACCTTCTTTCATTTCCCAGATTCTGGACTTTATCTATTGAACCGTTTTGATTTTTATTTTGATCTATGTTGAATGGTGTGACACTGAAAACCAGCCATACGATATGCTTAAAAAGAATCACAAAGAGGTTCATGTATTGTGTTTAAATTAATCACACTCGTTCCTACACCGTTTCCCTCACTTGGGGCGGGGCGGGACCACGCCCGCAAGTCATAGTGAAAGGACCAAGGGCCCTGGAAGGAGGTTGTTTTAAAAATGTTACACCACTTTTCTATGACTGGAAATGTAGTGGAAATTGTAAAACCAGTCCAGGTTATTCAAAGCTTTCAAAAATGGCGACAATAGTTAAAAGGATTGAGAAATTACACAAACTTGCTAGTTCAGTTAACCTAGCTGCCTATAGCTTTATTGTCGGCTTCAAGTTCATAACCAGCTGTGTGCTTGATTTGTCCGCCCACCTAGCACATGTTGTTTAGCAACTGGTGCTTTGTTTCTGTATGCTTTGCAGGATACCCATCTTCAGTGTCCGACATTAGTCGAGAGAGGGTCCGGAGACAGGCAGAGTTGTACTGGGAACAAGTTAAAGATGCCCTTCATGAGGGAGTCTTCCATCTCTCACATCAGCCCAACCCACAGGCCCTGAATCCGGATGACTTCAGTATTATTCCATTGGCTAAATCCCCAGTGGAACACTGTGACGGAAAAGCCCACAAGAAAACACTGGGTCAGCAGCAGTCTGTTGAAAAAGGAAATCAACAGATACCATCACATCGTTTAGCTCTACCACCCGTCCCCTCCAACAAAACAGGAAATGCTGAGGTGGGAAAGAGAAAGAAATCTCCACCATCCGCAGGCAACATGCGGTCATTTTGTCCGACTGTAAGCTCCAGTATGGCTGTTACCATGGGGGCGGCTCTTTTGCCCTTGGGGGCCACCCTACAGAGTCAAGGTAGCTGCTATGAAATCATCAGAATCAGGGCCGAGCAGAGAACCGCATCAGTCCGCGGCAACGGAATGTATGCAAGCGTCCTTCCTCCTATAGCTCGAGGAAAGAACCAGTACAACACTATGTGACTCACAGAGTTTTGCTTTAGTACAGTTTTGATAGTACGTAGAAAGGCGGGATACTTGACGTTGCTGTAATTAGCACACTTTTTTTTGTGTGAGATGTTGTTTTATTAGACCTGACCTGTACAAGCTTTAGTTTTGCCACTATTATTTGTATACTATTCGGTTAAGGACAAACCTCTACACTTACACCTACTAGCTAAACAGTAAACATAGTGTCTATTATAGGGGGTTGTATAATTCGCAAACCACCATATTTTGTTCTCTGGAAACCGTAGACCCCTTTCGTTTTCTCCGAAAATCCCAAACCGCCCTACTAGTAGGACGGTTATTATCACAACCGATCTTTAGTAGATTAGTGCGTAACAAATTTTTATGATATTTTAGCTTAATAATCGTATATCTCCTCGCAAAGACCATGAGATCTCAAGAACAGAACAAATTGTTTCTACCTTCATCCAGTGGCCAGCGAACAGAAAGTTTTTAAACCGAAAACCGCGAGCTAAATTTATGATTTCCCTCAACCGCACAATATTTTCTTGACCGTAATGTAAACCCCCAGATAAATGTGAATGTACCCGCAAGCCGGCACTCAAAATCTTAAACCGCCAAAACCGCCAAACCGCCATGGGAATATTACAGTGCGTTTTCTGAAAGACAATGAAAACCGATCAGATGGCAGAACTGAAACAATAGAATCCAACATTTTCAAATCCAGCCAATCAAATGTCGGGTACGAAACAATAAAATCTTAACTTATCCGATGTGATACTCGCTTCTACGGTTTTCTGTTAATAAATTGTCAAGCTCAAACCGTTAGAAATTTCGCGTTAGAAAATATTGTGTTACTTTACTTTAGATTTTACATCTACAACCGTGATAAACTCATTAGATTGACCGTTTTCCACTGTGAACAGACGGCCACATAAAATATCATCTTTACGGTTACATTTAAAATCGTACAATAATAAATTTGGACATTTTTTACAAAATATATTTCGCTCCTGTTGTCTTTGCGTGTTTCTATTTTTACACAGCTTTCGGTTGTCGGCCGACCGTGAAATCAACCACGCAGTTCTCGGGAAAACTATCGCGTTACCTATGAAAGACTTCAAAGTGGATGCTCACTCCGTAGAAAGTAGTGACCCCAGGCCAGAGTATAGCGATGCTATCAGCCGCTATTTTGAAAGTCGGTCAGTGTAAAACGCAGACTGTGGACTGCAGACCAGGGGTAAAATCTGTAAAATGTAGACTGAGGGTAAAATGCAGACTGCAGATTGTAGACTTTTTAACCGAATCGTATTAACATTTCCATCAACGAGAGCTAACCTAAACAGGCTAACCTGAGCCTGGGAACCGGAGTGATATTCAGGATAACCAGAGTGCAGACTTTCCCTACAATTAGCCTGAATAGCCCTGATTATGGTTAGCAATCGATAATGGCAATAGCACGAGATATACTTTAGAAGTTTGCATTTTACCATCAGTCTACATTTTACCCCCGGCCCCAGTCTGCAGTCTGCACTCTGACTGTTTTGAAAATTACCGAGGAGAAGGTGAGAGACGGTGAGCAAAATACTTGAAAAAGCTGTACACATCCAACTATACGCTTATCTCACAAACAATAAGATCATTACATCCAAACAGTTTGGGTTCAGACCGAAGTTATCAACTGGAACAGCCTTGGCTCACTTCACAGATAATATCATTTCTCCAGAATATGGACACTGGTAGGTTTACAGGTGCTGTATTTCTAGACCTATCTAAGGCCTTCGACACGGTAGACCATCATCTACTACTGCAGAAGCTAATAAACATTGGCCTTACCGACTCTACTGTCCAATGGTTTAGATCC